AATAAAAGATTTAATGCCATCTTTTAATGATCGGAAAGTATTTACTACAAATAAGTCCATCTATTTTAAATTTCTCAATATAAATCTTATAGACACTATTAAGATAAATTTGTTTTGCTTTTGACTGACTATAGTAATTTTAAAACAGGTAGATATAAATTGAAGTAGAATATTTGCTTGTTTTGTGTATAAATATTCACATATGTATTGAGAATACTTTAAGGAATGGTAGATACAATGAGATCATTCATGAGGTATATCTGCTTATATTTTGTATAATTTATAGGAATTTGGAATACTTTAAGGAATGATGTTAGAGATATATAGTTATTACCTTGTTAGCCACTTGATCAACCAGATCATTGTAGGTGCCGTTGTGGAGTATTAATTCATAAGGTAGGGGGTAACTTTGCTCCAAAATTTTTAGCACCTCATAGAATAGATCAATGCAGAAACCAGAAAATTCCATTCATTCAAACCTGCATCCCAATCCACCTTCACGAATTTCTGATAATATGATGTGGCTGGAACTCCAATCTTCATAGGCTTTGCATTAGTAGGCATTGCCAATCCTTTTGGAACTCGCTTAGGTCCCCTGGCCAATTCACCAAACCAGATAATACTTCCATGTCATTAGTGATATTTTCATGTCCACTTTCTTCAATAACAAAACTCTTTGAGAAACCAAATGTCGATGACCAGAAGCCAAGCTCTTTGTATCTCTTTCCAACAATGTTTACAATTCTAAATAAAGAGGACCCTGCTAGCTCTCCAGCATGGAAACGAATGTCACCACTTAAACCAGTGAAGTTGCTTGATAGAATGCTTTTGAGTAACGTACTTGGACAATCACTGCTATTACCTATTCTCTTTATGGCATTTGTAATGGCAGTAATGCTATCATAGGCTCTAAGGGCATAAATACCCATCTCCGAGTTATCTTCCTCAGGGTAATCCAATTGAAAAACTCGCCGAAAATGTTGCTTAATATCTAGAAATGACCTACTGCCTTCAGCATAATATGTCTTGATTCCTAGAGCACCTTCCATGGAAGAGATAACAGAAGTATTAGCAGAATCCAGGAGGCTTGCGAATCGGTCGGTAATTATCCATGCTGAATCTCTCCCAATAAGCCTCATTTGTTTTGCTTCTCTAAACAAATGAACTATCATTGACGATGATAATTGGAGAACAATAAAAACCCTGGATTGCTTACTCAATAGGTCTGCAACTGCTTCAGTAACAAAGGCTTTTGGGTCATCTAGAGAGGAGAATGATGGAAGGACCAAACGATATTCAATTGTCACGCCAACATCTTGCAGTGAATCAGATAATGCAGCAAACATTCCATAATCGCTACCATAGTAGTCGACCTCATAGATTACTATGGCTCTTCGCCAATTGAATGAGCGAACCACATCTGTGATGCACCTAATTTGTTCAATGACGTTGCTAGCCATTTGTACCAAGAAAGGCCATCGCTGAGGAATGAGTGGTTGTATAATGGCGGCTGATGCAAATGAAATAATAGGCATTTGAGTTTTGCTTGCAATGTCAGCAACTAAAGTTGTTTCTTCCCATGTTTCCATGCCAATAAGGACTTTCACGTTCATTGCTTCCGTAAGTTCTTCAGCTGTACCAAAAATTCAAATTTAATCCATATTTCTACCACAGTTGTTTCCTATTTACATTTGCAGCATTAAAGACATGACAACATCAATAATTAATTTCTTAATGTTTATAGATTTATTTTGTGTGTGTGTACATTGATGTATTCATAGTAGGGTAAATTACATTCAAACCCTCTGAGATTTGTCACTAATACACCCACATCCCCTCATGTATGAAAAATAACATCGTCACCCCTTGAGATTTGATATGTTGTAAGACAAAATCCCTTGACATTAAAGTCTGTTTGAATCACTATCCAATCTTAATTCCGTGATAATATTTTATCTTAAAATTCATAAAACTACCCCTTAATAACCATTACTAAATTACCGAGGCCCAAGAAAACCAAAAATTTGTGCATTTCCTCAAATGCCCCATGAATTCTACTAATTTATTGGAAAATACCCCCTTCTTCAACGTGTTGCACAACACAACCCCTTCCCTCCCACATAACCATGGAATCATCCCTACCACACCCAGCCACCTCACTGCACCAACAACTACCAGTAAACATAAGCTACAACCTCAACCCATCAATCAAAAACACAACATCAGCCCAGCAAATCAGCAGCACCATCACTATTATACACAACTAGCAATGAAATAAACATTCAAATTCAAATCGATAATTGTTGCCTTTAATTTTAGTTCAATAAATTCGATTATCCAAAACTCTTTATGTGTTTATAACAAGACAACAGAATCAAGAGATGATTCAAACGAGAATTTGAGTTGCTTGTGTGTGGACTGGTGTGTGTATGTGTGTATTTGAGTGTGTGTGAAATCACGAGAAAAAGAAGGTGTATGAAAGGAAGAAGATGGGAAGATGTGGGTTTCATCAGGTGTTGGCAATGAGGTAGGGTTGGGGTTGGCACTTGGGGGCAATGGAGTGAAGGTGGGGGATGGTGAGTTACATCACTGGTGGAGTTAATAATGTGGTCAGAGGCAGGTGGGTGGGCATGGTGGTTAACTGGAGTTGGGACAGTGGCTTTGATTAAGATGAAGGGTGTAGAAAGTGGTGGGCTCTTTATAGGTTTGAGGTTATTTGGATATGGATTGTGGCAATTATATGGATGGAATAAGTTGTCTAGGGTTAAGTTTCTTTGGGTTATTGGTAAGGGTTAATTAATCTTTTCAATATTTCTGTTTGTGCGGTTTGCAAACTATTGTTGAAAGGGGGTGCTAGTGTAAATTATCATACCTGTGGGGTCTGTGTGTATTAGTGACAAACTTCAAGGGGTTTGAATATAATTTATCCTTAATAATAGTACTGAGGCAAAGGAAAAATCCTGTTGGTCGGCACCTACTAGGGTAGCCTTATGCAAGTTGGCATATTGCTTGGGGCAAGACGCCCCCGATCAGCGTATTGCTTGGGGCAAAACTTGCTGGTCGGCACCCTCCTAGGGAGGTCCTTGCCAGTTGGCACCTCACACCAAAATCCACCAAGGCTCAACCATCTCCTTTCCACTTACGTTGCTACGAGCTCCCTCTGGCTCGTCTCTACTAGGCGAGTCCTACTCTATTAAGGATCAACCTAGGACCTAGAGTTTTAGTACAATACTACTTGAACAAATAGGAGCTAATGATAAGAACCTAGGAGTAAGAGTCCTGGTCTAACTCTACACCGAATATCTAGGACCTGGTGATGATGTCCATTTTATCACAACCTAGAGTTTGGGTTCCTTTGGGACACAACTTCCTACCACTATAAATAAAGGCCTCCAAGAACCAAGTAGGGCTTTCAATCTTAGCCTATTCACTCCATACTCTTCTTCGACTTAAGTATTAGAGTCCTTTTGGCAGCCTCCAGCCATCAGTTCACCTAGGTGTTCTCTTGTCTTGCAGGTTACTGAGAACCATCGACCCTTCAACTAGCCTCTTGGCATTTACACTACCCCAATCCTTGAAAATCCCTCAAACTATAAACTCCAATTTCCCAAAGACACGTTTCTTCAAGATGGACAGAAGTGCTTAGAAGAGCAACCCCCTCTCTATCATAGCTTACTGGCCCTTGGTGAAAGAAGCAAACCAGCTACCAAGGTTGCCTATTAGGAAGTAATAAGGAAAAAGACAGAGGAGCTAGAAGCCCTCAAGAAAGGGCTCATTCTCCAAAGGGGCAATAAACTTACAAGTTAGGCTATATGCCTACCTCGTCAAAGTGACCACCATAATGATCATTCACATGATGCTCAATCCACCAGTCACATGAACAGGTCACTGGCAAGGATCTATTGAACCAATGATCAGTGTCAAGGCAGACACTCATCGAGACACACTACTTCTCAACGCCAGTGTCAAGGCAGACACTCATCGAGACACACTACTTCTCAACGCTTTCCTAGAGACTCTTCACCCAGACGACATCCTCCTCGTCATGTGGAGAAAGGGGTGAGTTGCATAACGAAAGACACCCTAGGGAATATAGAGAAAGGAATGGGAGTTCAACCTGTTACTCTACATGAGATGATTGGTATGATGATTATGGAATACAAAAGCATATGTGTTTTGATCCAGCCTGCGAAAACACCAACCATCCTTCACGCAACATTGGCCAAGATAACCTTGTATACTCGGCCAAAAAGAGGGCAAGGCAGACCTTGCTTTAGATAACCACAACTCCTTTGGTTTGATCCATACAGGAATCCGAGCCTCCATATAAGTTCTCTCCTCTGTCCTTCGAGTTGTATGATAGAAAGTTTGATCCGGTCATCCACATAGAGAACTTTACTAATAAGATAACCCTTTGGAAGAACAACGAGGTGTTGATGTGTAATATGTTCTCCTCTAGCTTTGGGAGATCAACTCTTAAGTGGTTTTATGGGATGCTCATGAACTCGATTTTCTCTTGGGAATAGCTTTCTGGGGAGTTCATATATTGATTCATAACCAATAGTTGAAAGCTGATGACAATTGACTCACTCTTGGTAGTACGATAGAAACATAGAGAGACTCTCCGTGAGTATGGCACAAGGTACTTGGAAACCTATACTGACATAGAAGAGTGCGATGAGAAGACCGCCTCTGTCTCTTCCTGTTTGAGCCTCCCAAAGGAAAACAAATTGAGGAAGCATCTCAACATGTGGCTGCCCCAAAGTATGTCACACTTGTAAGAGCATTTCAAGCAGTATGTGAAGGTGGAGGATGACAAGGGACCAGTCAATTGGCTACCAATTTTTCCAAAGAAGAACCAGATAGAGGAAGACAACACTTCCAACCCATCAAGGAGAGATGGATCATCCAAGGGAACGAGAGACTCTTACCAAGGAACCAACACTATCTTCAAGGAGCGTATCTATCAAGTCTTAAAACAAATTAAAGACAAGCGATGTTTTAGATGGCCACCTAAGATGATAGTAGATCTATCAAAGAGGAAGCAAAAGCTCCCTTATTCTTATCACAAGGACAAAGACCACCAGACGGAGAATTGCTAGACACTCAAGTGCCAACTAGAAGAATTAGTCAAGCAAGGCACCTCTCTCTGTACATTGACAAGGAAAAAACTGCCAAGGAGTAGGGAGAGCAACAAATCTACTCAGATGACCAACCAGATTACTAAGTTTTACTTTTAGCTTAGTTGATAGTGTCTTATTATTTCAATAAGTCTTCAATGACATTTGTTTCTCATTCTTGTTGATTAGTAAAAAGATATTTGTTTTTCACAACTTTAAGTGTTCCTCTATTTGTGGTTATTGCAGCTTGCATGGTTGCCCCTTAAGACTTCTTCACCTTAAGCCAACCTCCATGGTTGCACCTCAAGGCTCCTTCACCCCAAACCAATCTTCATGGTTGTACCTCATGCCAACATTTATGGTTGCACCTCAAGCCATCCTCCGTGGTTACACCTCTAACCAACTTTTGTTGTTGCACCTCAAGCCAACCTCTACAGTTGCACCTCAAGGCTCCTTCGCCTCTAGCCAACCTCCACGGTTGCCCCTCAGGGCTACTTGGCCTTTAAGCTAACCTCCACGGTTGCCCTTCAAAGTTACTTGGCCTCCATGCAACCTTTAAGGTTCCCTTCAAGGTTACTTGGTCTTCATGTGACATCTAAGTTGCCCTTGATGGCTACTTGGCCTCCATACGACCTCTTCGGTTGCCTTCAAGGCTACTTGGTCTCAATGCAACCTCCACAGTTGCCCTTTAACCTACTTCACCCCCATGCAACCTCTAAGGTTGCCCTCTAAGTTACTTACTTAGCCTTCGAAGGATGACCAACAACTTCTACGATTGCTCAGTAGGCTACTTAGCATTTCTTAAGGATTTTTCACCTTTGAGCATCAGACAACTTAACTCATGGTGACCCTTACCCATTGGTCTGAACGGGGGGCACAAATGTTAGGGGATTCAGACCACCACCACCAAGGAGCTTCTCCATGATCTTAGGAATTGGGAAGTCAATCTCAAGCCATAAAACATCCTCCCAAACTAGATATGACCCATCGATCCCAACTTGAATCTCAAGCAACTCTTATTGCTCAACTTGCTTATGAGCAAAGTAAGTCAGTCCATTGTACAAGCAACAATGAATGCTTCTCATTTCCTTGTATTAGCCAAGCTCCAACCTATGAACCAAGTGAAATACCACAAAAAGAAGTAAGTAAAAAGGAGAAGAGAAAGAAGAAACTTAAAACATTAATCATTTAGGAAATAGAGGCCTAAAAAAAAAACTAAGTCCTCCGAAAACATACCTTAATTAACTTTATTTGTTAATTGAGGTATGAGGGGTAATTGTGAGGCAAAGGCAAAAGCCTGTCGGTTGGCACCCACTTGGGTAGCCGTATGCCGATCGGTATATTGCTTGGGGCAAGATCCCACCGGTTGACACCCTACTAAGGAGGTCTTTATCGGTTGGCACCTCATACCCAAAGCCACCAAGGCTCAATCATCTCCTTTTCACTTTACGTTGCTACGAGCTCTCTCAAGCATATCTCTACTAAGCAAGTCT